CTTACGCCCGTTGGAACGATTTAAAGACCTTGGCCTGTGGTGGCGGCGATGGCCGCGGCCTTCTTTTCGAGTTCTCTTCGCGTGGCCGGGGTTTGACCGCCTGCCTTGCTGCTCACGCCGAGGGCAGCAGCCGCGGTGGCGGCGGCGGCGGTACCCGGGGGCGGGGTCCGCCCGAGCAAGCTTTTGCGCAAGGTGTTCTCCACGAAGGCGCTGAAGGCCTCGATGCGACCCTTGGCGTGTCGTGCCCTCCATCGAGGCCCGAGCCGCCGTCGACCGAAGCAACGGGCGGAAGAAACTTGGACTCTAGGCTTACACGACGTCGTAGCGGCGATGGCCGCGACCTTCTTCGTCGGAAGCCGGACGACGGCGGCGGCGGCGACGGCAGCGCGGCGGCTCTCGCTCAATCGGCTACCTGTCCCCCCCACCGGCGCCGATCCGCGCCCGTGTTACAAGCGAAAGTCGGCATCGGCGGTATTCTAACGGAGATCCGGGTGCGCGCGCGGGGAACGAGGCGGAGTCGGCGGCGGCGGCGGCAGCGGCGGTAGCCAAGCGAAGTACGGCATCGGGGGCCTTCTGGCGGAGATACGGGCGGCGAGGCGCGGCGGAGTCCGGGACGCCCCGGTAGTGCCCCCAGTAGAAGGGCTTTTCTAGTCATGCTTTCCGCGCGAAGAAAAGAGACCCTTCTCCTACTGGGGCCACTCGTGTCCAGGGCGTCCCGGACTCTGCCGCGCCTCGCCGCCCGTATCTTCGCCAGACGGCCCCCGATGCCGTCTTTCGCTTGGCTCCCGCCGCCGCTGCCGCCGCCGCCGCCGACTCCGCCTCGTTCCCTGCGGACCCAGACCTCCGCCACAAGACCACCGATAACATTGGAACATGGTGATTGTTTTGGCAAGAGCTGATGAGTACGGGCAGCTACCTTTCTGGCGGGACTGCTGCTATTAGAGTAATCAGACTTAAATTGGGCCCACTCTACGTTGGAACGGAATCGACATTAGCTCGTTACTTTTTATGGAAACGTGGTGTTCGTCCGTTGATGGTTGGTGTCACCACTCGTGTTGGCTGTTGGTGACTTGGAAATGAGATAGAGGCAAACGAGAGGAATAGAGAAGGGATGCGAAAAGGAACCGAAAGGAGAGTACGATGTAAGTGTTGCTTCCTTGCTTCGTATAATCACAGCGTGTCGCCTGAAAGTGACGACTGTCTACAGCCTGGAGGTTTCTTCTGGTGATGTTGTTGGGCTAAACCCTTAACGAAGATTTTGGGGGGAGAAAAAGAAAAGCTGAGCAGCTTCTAGCCTCACACTGAACCACGGGCGTCGGTGTCTTAGCGCGTAAGGGCGCTGCAGCGTGCAGTGTTGCTGTAGAGACCTCGTCCAATGAAGAAGCGCGCTGTACATTTCGTGCAGGATGCATGTTGATTGTTCACCCTATGGCGGGGAAGCAAAACCACCATTGATTCGATCGTGGCGGTTATGTCCACTATTGTTCACCGGGCGACCCTTGGTGCAAAAATTTACGTCGACGAACGCATACCGCTTGGGCCGGCTGTTGGGATACTACACTTCTTCGTAGTCACTCTCCGAGGCCGGTCCTTTTCCCCATGAGGAAATCAACACCGCACGCAAGAATATGCATGCGCCGAATATACAACGCATGCATACATCGGCGGTGTTGTCCACAAATCCCTGATTATTTTTTCCGGCGCAAGGTTCACCGAAATCTGGCATATGCGCACCTTCTCTGTGGGTAGATTTGGTGAAAACAAAACGCTGCCTTTCCACTATGCTGTTAGCAGCAAACACTACGCTTCAAAGGCCTTCCATTACCTACACCGCAAGTGGGAGTTTGCGGAATAAAGGCGGCGACTTGTTTCGTCGCCCATCTGCTGACTATTGAACTAATTATGCTAGCGCCGGTGTGTTTTGTCAATTTTACGGCACTGGTATCGAACCCCCCCCCCCCGCTTAAGGTGATCCGGGCTATAGCAACGAAAACAACCGTAACCGTCCGCAGAGACGAGAACAGTATTGAGTGCTTCAACGAATCCCAAATGGACACAACCATCAACACAGCGAACAACAGCCGGTGGTACCGCAACACTTTAACCAAATAACGTTATAGAACTTCTCTGCGACCTGGTACTGCGGTAGTTTCTCTTTCTTTTTCCAGTAGGTGACCGTGCTAGGCGACTGCCCGCTACAAGGCTGAGAGGTCAGTTGCAACACAGGAGGGAAGAATGAAAAGAGACCTAGAACACTACCGTACTCATTCGTACGCGGTAATAGGCATCCTACCTGCGGAAAGAAGCCTCACACTTGCTAGTATACCCTACTTTTTTGTCTACACCTCTTGAATGCAACTCCCAATAAAAATAAACTATAAAGCAAGGAGGGTGGGTACCCATGAACATCATGGGACGAAAATAAACAAACCAGTAACAGCACATAGGTCCTGTTCGTGCTACAGAATGTAGCACAAAAACCCACAGTCGTAAAGGGTGGGCATCATTTTACTGTCTACAGCAGTATCCCCCTTGTAAACAACAACCCTCCCTCGCAGTTTGTAAGAGCAAATCGAGCTGAAACCGTGCGCGACGCCGATGGCACGGGACAAATAACCCGTTCAAAACCCGTATTGTGGTGTCATCAAGGACAAGCTACCCAAATACGGAGGGAAAAAAAACTATTGTGTGTCTACCCGTTCCTCGTCAATAGTGGCGATGGGCGAACTACTATACAGTGGCCACAATGTATTCCGCACCGGTACCCACGGCATTTCACCGTCTTCTTCCCACAAAAAACTAACGTCAAAATCACGCCCGCCACAGTATTGGCAAAGCATCGCTCAACTCTCCCAGGCCTTCGGCACCTACATCCAATGCTTGAGATGATCACGTTGCCACAGATAAAGAATCTCTCGTGATGTGACTCACCGAATGACCCCGTATTGCTATCTCAAAACCCTCAGGGTCGGGCACGCAGCCCGTCGCGAAATTCGTGAGGGGTGCTGCCGCGAGTGACATGGGATATCGCCAAAAGAAAACAATGTGTGCCACTATTCTAAACTTGGACCCGTCAAGATAACACAGAAAGACACATCTACAGCACCCGTTCACCGATCGCAAGGCAAGCCTCTCCACCGATCATAGTCTTCGTGCGCCCGAACACGCAAATGAGAAAAAGCAATGAATCTACACAAACCCTGCTGTAGACACACGCAAGTGCTCACACATGCGAAGAAAACTTGGGAGATCAAACCAAACAGTACCCACCCCCGGAACAGCCTCCCCTTATAACAAAAAACAAAAATCTATAGGTTGAATTCTTATCGCAGTATTAAGGAGCATAAACGTACACTAAACGTCATAACGGAATCAAAAACAGGCGTTCCCAGACTCTGAAGGTCAGGGAATATACTAGGAGGGTGAACAAAAAAACACACACACACTACAGCAAGTGACATCAAACAAGCAAAGCTACGCTACCAAAAATCAAAGGGACACCTCTCCCGACAACGGGCATGAGGTCGACCGCAGAACGAACACATCGTCCCCCGCCCTCACTCCCCCCGCATCAGTCGGCCACTGACCCGCCAACTTCTCCACCTTCTCGCCCGCCTTCTCCTCCCGCTTACCGGCCAGATCGCCGTCCTCAAACACGACAGTGTGCCCTCCCCCGCCGTCCCCTCCTCCGTTGTCCCCGACACCACTGCTGGCCTGTTTCGCCGCCGCCGTGACCGGCCAAGGCTGGAGGGGCTCGTCGGGCCGGGGGTTGATGTGCGTGTACGCGAGGGTGCTCCCCTTGTGCCCGCTCGGGCGGTACAGCCCCAGGGGCATGGCCCCGAGAGCGATCAGGTGCCGCGCGAGGTCCCCGTAGGTCTTCCCCGCGAAGGACGCCGAGACGCGCAGGTGGGCGAACTGGCACCTCCCCTGGTTCTCGGTGGAATCATCATCATCCCAGTGGCGGCTGCCGTCGTGACTGGGGCGGGCCTTCTTCTCGCCGTCACCTGCGTTGCTGCCTTTGTCACCCAAGCTCACGGCCCCACCGGCAGTGGCGGCTGCGCCGCCGCCTCCGTCGGAACCGCGGCCATTCTTACCGTCGGCATCATCCTTGCGAAGTACCGATGACGACTGGCTGCGGTGGTGGTGGTGGTGGTGGTGGTGGTTGGCGTTGCTGTCCGAAGCGGGGGGGTTGCGAGCGTGTATCTGGAGCAGGGTCTCGAAAAACGAGAGCACGTGCGCGTTGAAGTACGTCCGCACCGCGAACACATCCATGACTGGCAGGAATTGTTCCCGACATCACCGAAGAGAAAAAGAAACGACGCACACACGCGCAGCAAAGAATAAAACGGCGCGGGGCGTAGGCGGTGGTGTCATTGACGGCGGGCGTTCTCGTGTCTGGGGAGGAGGTATACTACGCCGGGCAGGCGTCCGTGCGAATTTTAGCGTTTGCCACAATGAGATGCTAAAATAAGTCAAGGTGTGTTGTAGATGATTATTAGCCGCGTCGCGCACACGGTCGCCTGCCGCATGTACAGCCGCAGCTGCAGATCGGAGCTAAGTTCGGCAAAGAGGGACCGGAAGGAAGATTGTCACAGAGCCATACACATGAACCTGTAGGTGAGCAAGTACGGCTGTCAGGGAGCCACAAATGAAACCGTCGGTTGTGTTCGGGACCAAAATACCGAGTCTCTGGTGTCCTCTCTTTCTTACTCGAGGTGGTCCAGACTCCGCCGGCGGCGAACAGAGGCCAGTACCGTACGTCCTCGCTACCGCTGCCGTTGTCCTGCACCGGAGATTGCCCCTTGCGGACCCGAACAAGAGCACAAACACACACAACGCACGACAGATGAAAAAGTTAAGAGCCAACAGGACCTCGGAGAAGCGTTGGAGTGACCATCGGAGGAGAAGATACATACATACGGGCACTAAAAAAACCACACCCAAGGGAGGCAAACAGCGGTCTGATGGTTCTTATCCAGCAGCCCTCACTGGTCGCGCGAGAGTTTTACCTTTCCTTGTGATAGGTCACGGTACACTCCCTGACACGTACGTAAAGTCCCCTCCCCCTCTCACGGCTTAGCTACAGGAGTACAAGCATGCGCATGTGTAGGTGGTAGTGGTGGATAAGAAAGGAAAGCTCTAAACGACAGGCGACCTAAGAGGGAGAGAGAGAGAGAGGGGGGGGGGGGGGAGAGAGAGAGAGCCCGTAAAAACTACAACACACGAGGATGAGAGGATGAGAGCAGGCCCCTGTGGCACCTAACGACATGGCCAAGATTTCCGTCACACGTACCATGCACACAGCACCACCACGACGTACCCTCGTGCTTCGCCGTAGCCCCGGCTTCATCCTTCTTCGGCTAGCACAACAGAACAGCCTCTTGCACACGATTTACTTTTTAATTATAATGTTTCCTGCAAACAACACAACACATCCACCTCTTCCGCAGATAAGAGTTCTTCGGGCTATAAAAATGAGAATCACGCACGTTCTCCGTGACTCTGGACACACCTATAACCGTTGGGTCCTATTATCAACCCATAAACAAGTCTGGCACGTGGGGGCGCCATGTTTTTTTTCACGATCGGCGTAGTCTTGAGGACGAGCGCTGGTAGTTTTTTCGTTCTGGCAGGTGTCCGCTCACCTCTTTGTCGGGGGTGCGGGTGCTCGCCAAAGCGAGAGAATGGTCGTGGTCGTCTTCGTCCGGTCCCCCCAGGACGGTGCCGCAGTAGTAGATGCTATTGTCCTTGGCTAAGTCGATCAATACCTTCGTTGCGATGGGTGGCGGAGGGAGGCGGAAGCAGCGCAAAAGGCACAAAAAAATTATTTGTGTGGAGACCTGAGATGACGAAGAAGACCAAGCGCGCGGTGGCGAGGAAGACCCACGAGAACGTCATCAGAAAAGAAAACGAGCACACGCCACGGGATAAAAAAACACCATCGGTCGAAAACAACGCCAGTGCGATAAAAGCAGGAGAAGGAGGAAAAGGTTGGCAAATACCCCTATCCTCAGAGAAAAATAAAAAAGTACTCACGCAACACAAAACTGACTACGCCTTGTCTTTCTCTTACCTTCGGTCTCGGTTCTCCCGGCGCGATTTCTTCCAACACCTGCTCCAACTCGAACGACCCCAGCAACACCGATGTGTCGGTGGGACCATCGGACATGAGCATCACCGACTCCGCCTGAAGAGGCACCCAGAAGAGCGATTCCAAC